GCCGCCTGTGAACAAGCAGCAGTCTCAGTCCTCCTCCTCCTCATCTTCATCCTCGGTGCAGTCCATGTCGCCCATTCCGGCCCACTCGCTGGCAGCGTTCGGCCTGTTCCTGCGCCTGCCGGGGTACGCTGAGGTGTTGCTGAAAGAGAGGAAGCACGCGCAGTGTCTGCTGCGTCTGGTGCTGGGCGTCACGGACGACGGAGAGGGCAGTAAGTCTGAAAACATTTTCCTGCTGCAGAGTTGAGCAGCCATGCAGACACCCAGAGCCTTCACTCATCACCTAAAGCTCTGAATAAAACTCTGGTCAACTTTTTTACGGAAGTTTTTGGTCTGATCTTCTCTTAGGTCACATCCTGCAGTCCCCCTCTGCCAACGTGTTGCCCACCCTGCCATTCCATGTCCTTCGAGCGTTGTTCAGCAGCACACCTTTGACCACTGATGATGGAGTACTGCTGCGCCGCATGGCTTTAGAGATTGGCGCCATTCACCTAATCCTGGCCTGTTTGTCAGCTCTGAGCCACCATGCCCCTCGAAACCCCAACGCCAGCAGCAACGTCTCTGAGGTAGGCCCCCACTGAGCCCCACACCTATTAAGTTCAGCTCTGTATGAGCTGCATTTAATCATTGTATGAGGTCTTGGTGAATAGATGTTGCTAAGTTTCATAGGCAAGTTTCCCAGAATCTCACTGTCTCTGATCTTTCAGTTGTTAAATGTGGCTCAAAGCCCTGTTTACATCTTTGCTTAGGTATAAATGTACTAAAAGTGGGTGATGAACTTTTAGTGGAGAGGAACCTTTTTTTTTTTTACCTGAGTCTATTTGTGTGGTTAATTTCTGACTAAATTAACCTTTGATGTTTGGAGTATTTCTTGAAAAACTGATAATCATAATAAATGCTTATCTAGCTTAGAGAAACAGTGTTTCAATTAACCACAGCAAGCTGTGTTAAAGATATATAGTTCACATTTGCTTGACTAAAGCAGGGACTGCAAGAGTGAATAAATGAACCGAACAAGTTCTGGTTGCCCAGCAGAACATTACTGAACAGGATTTGGATTGGGGACAATCATGTTGTTCTGCCTGGATTAATATAAAGCCAACAGGTTCAGTGATCAATAGGAGTCAAAACAAGACTAAGTCAGCCTTGAAATTATACAACTTTGCACAAAAGTGTGGAATAAATAGTGTTAAATTTCATTGGTCAGTAACGTAGGAGGAAACTTGGTTAATGGAAAGGGAATATAAATAAATCCTCCACCTGTTTGTATAGTTTAATTTTCTGTGTGTGTGTCTGTGTGTTTGCAGCCGCAGATGTCCAGTTGTCACAGTGGTGGGACTAGTGAGGAGCAGCAGCTGTACTGGGCTAAAGGAACTGGTTTTGGTACCGGCTCTACAGCTTCAGGCTGGGATGTGGAGCAGGCCCTTACCAAGCAGAGGTTAGAGGAGGAACATGTCACCTGTCTGCTCCAGGTAAACATCAACTTCCCTCTGCTCACCTGTGTTTTTAGATTTTTTTTTTTTAGTCATAATGTGAGGATTATTGTCTTGCAATGGCTGTTGGTACTGGAAGAGCTTTCTTGTTGGGTCTGTAGCCTATCTGTGTAAAAGTGTGCTAGGTGGTTTAGGGATGCTCTCACATTCCTCAGCTCAGGCTGCATTTATGTCTTACACCCAAATACACACCCAAAACTTATTGTAAAATGAGAATTTCTTTCTAAATTGACATGTTTCCATTAAATTATTTTCAGAATGACAAATTGCTCAATTATGTGGTCAATAGAAATACATTACTGGTGTATCAAAAACCCTATTGAAAATAAACACAATACAAATCCTGGTGGGTGAGAAAGTAAAGCCTGGAGGCCCACCAGGCTTAAAATACCCTGCGGGAAACCCTGTGTTGGTGGGTGGGGGGGGGGGGGGGGACCCGGGATAAACGACACATGTAAGATGTTAACTAAGGTGCTGTTTTGAAGCTAAATGGAATACTTGTTGTGTTGCATCCACCAGGTTCTGGCCAGCTACATCAACCCGGCGGGCTCCAGCAGCCACGGCACAGATGCCTCTGCAGACAGCAGAGCCCAGAACAGCTCAGCTCTGCCGGCAGTGCTACAGGAGCTGCTCAGCCAGTCCTGCCTCATCCCTGCCATGTCCTCCTACTTGCGCAACGACTCAGGTAGGCGCCATGTCTCTCCAAATAAACACCTAGATAGACAACAGCGTGGGGCAGGGATGCCCATGTGATCGAGCTCTTCTTTCTACCCCACATTTCAGAAATGGTTGTGGTTACACAGCAATATATGTGAACATCAACATTGCTGTTTTTTTGCAAAACGAATTACATTTCAAATTCATCAAAGTGTGATAATTGAAATAGGTTTTTTATTTGTCTTTAATTGTATATCTGATAAAAGGACAATGGCTTGAGACGTAATTTTCAGATGGTTCTTCTAAGACTGATTATATTTGGCATAGAGATCTGTTAACATTTGTCCTTTGATGCTCTGTGGCTTAAGAACCCAATTCTGGGTTGGAGTTGCAGTGATCACTAACAGGGGAATCTCGCTGTCTACATTCTGGTATGTTCTGAATAGAAATGGCCTGATTTCATGTTTTTCTTTTTGTGATTCTTTCAATTTCTACATTGGTGATGCAGAAATTTTTGCAAACAGACCAGAGCAGAATTTTATTTTATTTTTTTAATTTGTGAATTAAATGAGAATTTGATTGTGTTCTTAGTAATTAACTGCTGCTGTTGTGTAGAATATGGATTATGGACAGGGCTGTTTTTCCAGGTGAAAGGCAGATAAGCAGTATGGTAAATGCTGTGAAGTTGAAGCTTATTGATGTGGTGCTGTATGTAGCACATGCTCTGGTAATCCCTCGTTTCTTTCCTTTGCTTTGTCCAGTCCCCGCCTCATGGTGGACTGGAGCACAGTGGGCAGCTCTACCTGTCTGTCATGTGCTGACTTGATTTCTGTAGAGATGAGCCTGGTGACTGTCTAAAACTGAGCTTCTGTATTCTGGTTGAGTCTGTTTGCAAACTGGGATCTGTTTACTCTGCTGCTGTTGGACTAACAGTTCATCTCAGTACTAAGCAGCTTCAGCATCATCTTCACAGGGTCTTCTGTACTTCTGGGCTTGATTCACACATTTGATATTGTCTGTACTTGCACATAACCCCCTCCATCCTGCTCCAGGCCTGTCTTTAAACCAGCTTTTATACAAATTCCAACAAACTTTGTGACTTCCTACCTCATAGGCGTGTTGTTGGAGTCCTGCAGCACCTGTTCACGCCATACACACATGCTATTCCTATGGATTTACTTTAATTTATACCAATTCGTCCTTTGAGCTTGAGTTGGGGATTCCTTTACTAAATGAATAAAGGCACTAGAAGTCATTATCATAGTTTTTAAAATCATAGGTAGGCCTGTCGCGATAAACGATATATCAATTAATCACACGATAAATTAAACCTATCGACCTCATTTTAATTATCGGCTTTATCGTCTCTTTCTGCCTTTTTTTCTTGCTGTTGATGACACTGACCCTCCCTTCCTATTTCCTTTGTGTAATGTCCACCGCACATGACACGAGTTGTCGGCCGATTGTCGGCCCATTTTCAAAACCTGAGACACATTAGCCGACAGAAATCCTAGGTATAATGGTTCTATCGGGTTCGATAGTGCCAGGTGGTGTTCAGCCACATGGGCGCAAGATAATGGCTACAAGTCCAGTGAACTAATTTTAAGATCAGGCATTAATCAATGCTTTACTAGAATCTACCTGTGATGCATGTGGCTAGAGTCAGCGTAAAGTCCCGACTGAGTGAAAATCATTATAACTTATTTATGTCACGTTAACGAAGAACAGCTGAAACATTACCGGGTTTATCAACTGCGGTAGCAATTTGGCTCCAACTCCTCCCCTTGTCATTTCTACATTCTTTGCGCGAAATGCTGAATAAATATTAATGTTGTTTCCACAAATCATCTCCGATGTTGCTGGACTTCGTGTTGCCGTGTCAGCTGTTTCAGATTCCCCTCCGTAATTTCCCCTCAGAAAGCAGGACGAGAATCCAGCTTTCTGATTGGCTACCTGTCACATTCAGCGTTAAACTCGGTCGGGGAAAACCCCTGATTTAGATCGGAGTGGCCACACAATCCACCGTAACACATCACACACTGCAGGATGATCGGATACGAAATCACCAGCAACAATCTTAGATCGGCCAACGATCTAAGATTGTCATAAGGGGAAAATAGGGGCAAAAAATCGTGTAGTGTGAACTATTGCATTAGGTAGTCGGATGTGCCCATCTTCTCTATTTAAATCTAGTGATTACTGAAGGCCAATATAGTATACAGACTTTATAATCTGCACTCTTTTGGTTGAATGCAGTATTTATTTCCACGTTGGCTTTATGTTGTTTAGTTTTTATTTAAGTAAGTTTTTTGTTAATGGAGACTGAGAATCAATTTTATTTTTGTTTTTGATTGTTTTTGTTTAGTTTATCAATTCCAGTATTATGTGTTGTTTTGAAAATATAGTGTTTCTGTCATAGCAGAAACACTATATTTTCTGCCATAGCAGGAAATCACATGCATTCTTAGTCAATATTATCGTTTATCGCAATAATTTTTTAGACAATAAATCGCTCAGCAAAATTTGTTATCGTGACAGGCCTAATCATAGGTTGCATCTTAATTTCTCCTTCTCTAAAATGTGCACAATGTTGTTTATAGTGTTCCAACTGTCAGTCCATCCCTTGTTTCCTCTTATTTCAAGAAGTAAGAACTTGTTCTAAATGGTTTACCTGGTTGAATAAAGGTTGAATGAAATGAATGAATGTTTCCCTCCAAATTCAGCCAAAGTCCATCAAACCTAACCAGGTCAGAAGTGAACTGCCCACTGCTCACCCACCTTTCTCTGTTACCAGCAAAGCTTAGGCCAGCCATCAAACCAATGGTTGTGGTTTATTTAGTAAACTGCATCATTGATGTGTACATGTCGACTTTATTCAGGTAGTCATAAAAACAGCATTGGTAAAATGGAGAAAAAGTTACAGAAACTGACTCTTAAAAAGTAGAAGGAAAAAAAAAAACCTCTTTTCTGTAAGGGTTTCTGGACACATCCTTCATCTTTTATGAATATGAACAAAAATACAGCATAAGTTTGCTCGTATTTTAATACGTAAGTTACTTTTTTTTATCACAATCTTATCTTTCCCCTAAATTCTTACCCTCTGTAAAGATGTCCTTTTACAAAAATAGCTCCATGTGTGAACTTTTATATCTTGGAAATGTTTTTTTTTAACCCAAGAACAGTAGTTTATTTTATTATTATATTTTAGAAATCCATCTTCTTCAGGATGTAGAGGTGTAGCAGGAGTTTTCCTGAATGCCATGTGTTTTGTGTGTGTGTGTGAGCGTGTGTGCGGGGAGTTCAGGAAGTGAGGAGCGGTGCTGGTAGAGTGGGCCTGACCAATCACTCCTCCAGGTTTCACTCTGCGCTGTAGAGGAAGACGACTGTAGAATTAAACTGAGTTCAGTGGAATCATGGCACCAGAGTCATCCTCATTGGCCCAACAGTCCCAGATGCCGGTAGCCAGAAAGCGTTTGTTTCGGGGGGACTCCCTTTCTTCACGTAACTCGTCTCGCATTCCCTTTAAGCCCTTCGTTATCTCTCCAGCTCAAACATATGATGTGGCAATATGGCTTCCTCTTTGTCATCTTCAGCCACTTCCTGTCGTTTCCTCCATCTTGATCTGGGACAGGTGTCCATGTCAGGCTGCAGTTTTTCCTAACGTCTCATCATTGATCAGTGTTATCCAGTCATGGGATTCCATCCTCACACCGTGGTGTAAATGTAAACAAAAACTATCACAAAGAGGTTGAGGAAAGTGCCAACAATGCCCAGCATGGCCAAGATGGACTCCTCCTGCTCCTCCTTGGCCTCCAGCGCCCGCACATCGTCCAGCGTGATGACGGTAGTGCCCATGGTCCTGTAGCTCACCTGACCTGGGATAAGAGAAATTTATGGAGGCCATGTTAGACACAGAACGGCACTGCTTAGTTTGAAACCGAAAAAGGCTGAAATTATGTTCTGAATCCTGGTGTTTCTGATCTGGAACAACTGGAATTTAATGTCGGCACAGACTCTGGGATGAAAGCTTTAAAGCGGTGACTTCCAGCTTGGACCACCACCAAGATGGCCACATAATGAGAAAGTTCAAGGTTGAACCAGAGTAACGAGAAAAATTCCCCATATAAACCAAGCAAACCTACTCTGATAAAGCGTTAAAAAGAGGATGAAAATTATATCACCACTTCGAGCATTAAACGCCGACTGAGGTCCGATGGGTGACAGACAGGGACGCCTCTAACAGGTTCAAGCTAACAAACGGGGCACTGTGTCAAGAAATGACAGACTTGGAACTGATTCTGAGAGAACTAAAAGGATTTGACCAAGAAAATAAAGAACAATTAGAGACAACAATAGAAGAAATTGTAAAGGCGAATACCACAATTGACGAGATGACAGGGTGTATTGGGAAGACAGGATCCAGACCATGAAAGAAGTCATCACGGCTATGCTAAAGCTACACACTAAGCTGGGGGGACAAATGACTGGATCTGGAGAGTCGCTCTGGATGCAAAAACACATAAGGATGTATGGCATGACAGAGGGATCAAAGAAGGAATCAACAACGGTGATCTCATTTGTGGAAAATTCACTCCATGAAGGTCCTGAGTTAAATGATGCTATGACCAACCTTCAGATTGAAAGCTTTAACGCACTGGAAGTGTGTAGTAACGCTCTCCCAGTGGGTTTCCCCCATGCCGAATTAGAAGCCTGCATAGCTGGCTGTTACTGATTAACATCCTCCAGTTGATCAAAGATAGCTGTTCTCAACAAATCTAGAAACTTTCTGTTACACAGAGTAATTTCCTGTCATTCTGGTAATGGTTCCACTACATTGTCATTTTTTGTGTGAGCAAAGGAGCTGCTCAGGATTAGTTTTTCTTTGTTATATTTAATGCCTCCTTATCATTTTTGGCACAACTTTACTGCTGTCCTTGAAAATTAATTCAAATAATTGGGAAAGCAGCTTACCTTAAGGCGTTTCACGTACAAAGCATCATCCGGCATGCTGTTTGGGACCTCAGAGAAGAGATGTTTGTGTGAAGCTGCTCCAGGCAGCGACAGAGGGGTAAACAGGGAGCGACTGGGTGTGTGTTGTTATCGCCTCGGTGACGGGGGAGAGGAGGCAGAAACAGAAACGGATCCACGACAAATTCCCATGTTCCTCAGCACCAGCTGCAAAACCCCTTCGCCCCCCACCTTCCTCTCTGCTCCTTCACCCTCACTAGTCTCTGTGGAGTTCCAGTCAGCAGGCTGAGACTCTGGCAGCAGGGGTCTCACCTACTCCATCTCAGCCCCTCACATACTCTGCTCATCTTTCTTTGTCTGCTCAGTCTTCTGAGTTCGGCTACCTTGCTCTGCCTAAACTCTGCCACAGAAACCCGCTCCCTTCTTCCACAGGGTCTCCATAAACCCGCACATACTCAGCTTGATGCTGCTGCTGCCTTCATTTCTGGGGGTGTCATTGGAATGTGAAGCCCCTGTGCCAGCGCTTTGCACCATGTCTGTCGGGTGAGCTGGTGGCGTGTCGCTGGCAGCCAGCACAGGGGAGAACAGACAGGTCCACGGATTGAGTCTGCTGAGGAATATTCCAGAGGAGAGAGGAAAATCCAAGATCTAGCCGTCTGCAGAGAAGCGAGTGCAGCCCGAGTCTCTTGTCTCAGTAGATGTGCAGGAAGGAATCACCAGAGACGGCAGCCTTCCGCTAGGTCTCCAGCAGTTAGGCACCGGGAACGACGGTGCATTACATAACCAAGCAGAGTGGAGGAAAGGGAAGGAGGACGGTCCTGATGGCTGTGGAGAGGAATGGAAAGGAGCATGAGGACGAGAAGGAAGGAAGGAGGGAGGG